GTCTACGGGCGGCGGTGGCGGCTGACAGGAGCCGGGTGACTGCGACGGCCGAGGCGGCTGGACGCGGACCAGGTGGACGGAGGGGGCCGCCGGCGCAGGGCCACCCACCATGAAGCCCCCCGCAGGTACCGGCCGGCCCTCGCTGCGGCCCCGCTCTGCAGACCCGGGCGTCCCCTGCACCCTCGCGCCCCCTGGGGTCACGACTTGGGCCTAGGACCGGAGCCGAGGGACCTTCGAGGGACCCCCGGCGGGGACTGGGAGTGGCCACGTGGGCGACCCCGCCGCCTCGCTTGTCGAATGGATGAACCAGCTTTTCCAGGGCTTCATTCATTCTGCAAACTTGATGGCGCTTCCTCTACGGGACGGGTCGGCTGGGGGGGACTCTGGGGAGACAGTGATTTAAGAACCCGAGCCCCCCGCCCTCGTCCTCCCGGTGTTCTAGAGCCAGAGGCAGACGTTCAACAGGTAAATAAGCAAGCGAGGATTTTCGATAGGGATCGGTGCCGTGGAGCAAGGCACGAACGGGGCAATCTCAGGGAGACTTGTTTGGAGAGGGTGGTCCTGGAGGGCCTCCCCGAGGAGGTGGCATTTGAGCCGAGACTTGCCAACACCTGGGGAGGAGCGTCCCAGGTGGAGGGAACCGCGAGGGCAAAGGCAGGGAGACAGGAACAGGAGTAACGTGTTTGGAGAGCAAAAAGTCACTTTGGCTACAACACAGTCAGGGGACCTTGTTATTTTAAGGGCAAAAGCGGTGTGACCTGTGTACTGTATTTTAGAAGGTCGCTCAGGTTGTCGTGTGGCACCTCTCTGGTAGTTTACTTGGATTTTCTCTTGTCCACCTGTCCTCCTCCAGCTCTTTTCTTCATTCCATTGCGATGAGGATAGTAATTATAATAATGGTAATAATGATAATTAGGGCTATTCAGGCTTCGGGAAGGCAGGACTGTTGTCTACCTTGTTTGCTGCTGGATTATTAGCTCAGAGACCTGGCACAGGAGCGGCATTCAGTAAATATTTACAGAATGGATGCATGTCCACAAGTTTTTCAAATCCTAGCTCTTCCTGCAGGATTTTCAGACAGTGCCAGCTCACCTTGATCTCCATTTTATCAGAGCTCCTGAAATCCTTCTTTGCCACCTGTGCTGACTAACTTAGAGCCTTTCTTTTACTTCCTTTCTTTCTCTCATTTTACCAGTGGTTCTCTGCCAGGGTGATTGTGCCACTTCAGGGAACATTGAGCAGTGCTTGGGGACGTTCGTGGTTGTCATGACTGGGGGTGCTCCTTGCGTGGAGTTGGTGGGGGCCAGGGACGCTGCTCAGCACTTGCAGTGCCCAGGAAAGCCCCGCCACAGCGAACGATCTGGCCCCAGTGTCCACAGTGCCAAGGGGGAGGCCCTGGTTTATTCCCTCATTTCACTGCAGAAAGAGTAATTTGATTACAGGATGCTACCCTGACCTCCCTAGATGATATAATTTATGGCATTTGTACCATGTTACCCTTCTCGAATAGGGGAAAATCCTGATTATTGAAAGATCCCTGACTGTAAGAGTTTTTGGACAACAGATTGTGGTCTGTGATAATAGCTGTATCTGGAAAACTTTCTCGGGTATTCAGGATGTAACATGTTTTGCTTTCATTCCCTCGTTGGATTCTCAGGCAGTTCTGCACTCTGCGTCCTATATGTAGTCCCCATATTTACAGATGGGAATCCTGAGATTTGGGGAGGTAAAGTCTCTTGCCAGGATCCCACAGCTAGCACGTGGCAGAGGTGAGACTCAAACCCAGTTAGTCTGACTTTAGCTTCTGCACTCGAATCAGCGCATTGTACTTGCCCCCGCCTTCGTAAAAATGCCCGTCTGGTTGTCAGGTCCCCATCCTGTCCGCCTTCCAGGGTTCCACCTTGCACTCAGGATTAGATTTCAAACCCTTTGTCAGTCTGCACCAGGGTTTAGCACACTATGGCCTGCCTATGTTTGTACAGCCCACGAGCTAAAAATGATTTTTGAATGGGAGAGAAACTGTATGTGGCCTGGGAAGCCTAAAATACATGGCCCTATACACCCCCCACCCCCATCTTCAGGGCTCCATTTACACAACCATTTCTCACAGAGACCCTAGAGTGCGTGGCCGAGGTAATGACACTCCCATAGCATCTGCCCCTGTGGGATGGCCGCGTCCCATCCTGGACTGCTTGCTGAGTTAGCGGGGGCCTGTGTGTTCTCCCAGCTGGGTGTGGAGTGCAGAGTAAGCAAGAGAGGGGCTTCTCCAGGAAACACCAGCGCGCTTCCGTTTTCCCTGTGCTGTGGCAGGAGTTGAGCAGTGCTGCGGTGGTCCGAGACTCCCCCTTTTTGTGAACACCCAGGCTTCTTTGCAGGGTGCTGCTGGCTGGGACCTGCACTTGGTATCTCTAGGACAGGGTTTTTTTTTTTTTTTTTTTTTTTTTCCTTTTTGTCTTTTTCCGTGACCGACAACGGATCGCAACCCTCGGTGTCGCGCCCGGACCGGACCGGGACCAGCAACGGGATCGCAACCCTTGGTGTCGCGCCCGCACCTCGCTCAGCCACCGAGCGGCCGGTCTGTATGTGGGATCCGAACCCTCGGCAGAAGCGCCGCCACGCTCACAAGCGGCGCACTGTAGCAGTGCGCCACCGGGCCGGCCCAGGACAGGGTTTTTTAACAGGGTTTTTTACCTTGTCTGTGGTGGGGCTGGAGAAGGTGGGCTGTCCCGGGCACTGCAGGTGCTGAGCAGCATCCACCCACTCCATGCCAGGATTACCCCCTACCAGGACAATCAGAATGTCTCCAGACATTGCCTGGCATATCTGGGAAGGAGTTTAGGGGGCTACAGGGTCAATCAGTCTGTGTGTTCCCAGTAAGCCCCTGGGCCTTGCTCACCTGGGTGGGGAGGAAGTTGATCCTCTCCTTTCCCTCTAGCCCACAGTAACTCTGACCCTAACCCTGGGCTTACAGCAGACCTGATGAGCACTGGGTTTTGTCCACTCTCTGTCCAGCCTGCGCAGGCGATGTACTGGATGCAGTGTCTCCGTGCTCAGTCGTAAACCACCTGCGATGGGACCTGAACGCCCAGCAGATAGAGGAGCTCACCAAGGAGCTCATCGAGCAAACCAAGCACGTGTACGACCAGGTGGGCGCCCAGGAGTTGGAGGACGTGTCCTATGACAGCACGCTCAAGGCGCTGGCTGATGTGGAGGTGTCATACACAGGTACGTCCAGGTCAGGATCGCTGGTATTGTGGAGCCAGTTCACAGCCCAATGCTAATTGTCCAGCTCCTTGACCCTGACCCTGGGTAGTGCCACTGCCTCCCTAGAGTGGGTGTGACGGGTAAACACGATGGTAGGTGTAAGCACCTGGCAGGTGCTGGTCACTGGGAGGCACCCAGGAGCGGCTCGTCCCCACCCATGCCCTGCTCCACTTCGCCACCTCGTCCTTTCAAAGTCCTCGGTGGTTGTATCACGTGAGAGCCTGAAAGGGGAACATGTATTTCAACAGCACACCTCTCCAAGGCCAGCTCAGGTGACGGCCTTGAAACCAGTGTCCCTTCCAGCCTCTTTTCTTGTCATGGAGGATATTTATTTTCTCTCTGAACTGCTGAACCCGGCCCTCTTGCCATCCCTTTCCCCTGTCTCCTCAGCTTCCACCTGTGCTATGGGTAACCTTGTGCCCTCAGGCGTCCCCATCACCACTAGCCAAAGCCTTCTCTTCTTTCTCCTCGGGGTCCTTCTGCTGAGGACTGAGGTGCCTGGTCAAATAGGTGGTGAAACTAATCCCAGAGCCCCCTTTGTAGAGGTTGACAGTGTACATATCCATCTGAAACACCAAGAGAAGTCTCACAGAGAGAACTCCAGGCACGGAAACCCCGTGCTCCTCAAATGTCTAGCAGAGGCTTTTTTTCTGGGAATCACTGAGAATCCTTGAATTCAAGCTGAGGGATCTTAACATGTCCCTGACACGTCACTGTGGCATGTTGGCTGACCCCTGGCCTGCACCATTCAGGCTATAGAGGTTTGCTGTTGTTGATGAGTGGGCCAGGAGGTGAGGGCTGCAGCTCAGGAACCGGCCCGCCACCCCACAGACCTGGCTTTGAGTCCTGGCTCTGCTTCCTGCCACTCTGGCTTCTGGCAGGTGGGTTATCACCCAGCCCAGGCTCAGTTTCCCCTCTTCTGTCAAGCAGTGGCTCCTTCCCTCCCATGTCTCTCGCAGGAGTCTCACCAGGCTCCAGTGATGCTAATTCCCTCAAATCAAGCATCACTGTACCAGACGTCATTCAGTCTCCCCGACCTGCCAACTTTTCTACTTCTGCAGCCTTTTATTTCCTTCTCCACACAGTCATCAGAGCAGTTTTAAAGAAAATGAAAACCAGCCATGATATCCCTCTCTTGTAATCCCTCTGTGCCTTTCTGCTGCCCTCAGGAAGAAGACCAGAGTCCTGGGCATGGGCTGCGGTGCCCTGCACTGTCTGCACCTGGCCCCGTGGCCTCCTGTGCCCACTCGAGCTTGGCGTGCTCCCCCATCTCAGGGACTCCCTGACCAGCACGGAATTCTCCTCACCCTGCACTCTGCTAAATGTTACGCTTTCTCTGATCACAGATTAGGCCCATTTCCTCTGGGCGCCCTTCTGTCCCTCCTCTCCCCATGCTCTGAGCGGCTGTGTCTGCACACTCCTTCCATTTACAGCTGCTTGTTTCAAAGTTAGCCTGTAAATTCCAAAACCACAGGGCCTGTCTTCTGTTCTGTCTTCAGCACCAGCACCCTAACCCGCCTCTGTTTAGTACGACTTGACTGAATGGCCCTGGCAGAGGTCTCTGGTGTACAGCCAGACACATCAAGACCTGGGGATATTTTCATTGGCCCAGAATCGTGGTAGTGACCCAACCACGATTTGAGCTCAGTTCTTCCCAATGCAAGAGATATGCATTTTGTTTTGTTTTGTTTTAACCACTCTACTGAAATATAATTTGCATACATATAATTCACCCATTTAAAGCATACATTTTGTAGACTGTGAGTTCTGGGAGAAGAACAATGAAGTGTATATTTCAGTGGTTTTTAGTATATTTGCACAGTTGTCCGACTGTCACCACTCTTTAATTTTATTTTTTTTATTATTTTTTAATTTTTTTTAAAGATGACCAGCAAGGGGATCCTAACTCCTAGCTTGGTGTTGTCAGCACCACGCTCACCCATTGAGCCAACCGGCCATCCCCATACAGGGATCCGAACCCGCCGCCTTGGTGCTATGAGCACCACACTCTCCCAAGTGAGCCACAGGCCGGCCCCTAGCACTCTTTAATTTTAGAGCACTGTCATCCCTCAAAGAGAAACTCTATACCCCTTAGTGGTCACTCCCCATCCCCTCCCCCAGCCCTGGTACCCACGAATCCACTCTCTGTCTCTGTGGACTGGCCTGTTCTGGACGTTTCATGTAAATGGAATCACACACTGTATGGCCTTTTGTGTCTGGCGTCTGTCACTGAGTGGGATGTGTTCACGGTCCGTCCACGTGGCAGCGTGTGTCAGAGCCTCGTTCCTGTTCGTGGCCCAGTGATGTTCCGGTGTGTGGATGGACCACGTTGCACTTATCCGTTCATCTGTTGATGAATACTTGGGTCACTTCCACCTCTGGCTGCTGTGGACATTGGCATACAAGTTTCTGTGTGGATGTGTGTTTTCATTTCTCTTGGCTAGATGCCCACGAGTGGAACTGCTGTGTCATAGGGTAACTATTTTAAGACTTATGCTTTCATAGCCACCCCCTCTTCCTCTGTTTAACAGAAGGAGCGAATATGCTCTGGAAATGATAAAATGGTTTATGCATTTGAAATATAACCATCACCACCCATGGTGCTTTCTAGAGCTGAGTCCGTTTGCCTCTCTGTTGTTACGCCTAGCTCTTCGTGGCCCTTCCTGGCTTGGAGTATCATGAGTTGAATCTGTGTTTCCCTTCGGACTGTGAGATCCCCAAAAACAGGGGTGGCAGCTCTTCCTCTCTTTCCCAGCACCCAGCCCAGGGCCTGGCATGGATGATGTTCACTGAAAGGGAACAGATGTGCTTGGGTGGGGGTGAGGGGGGTGCCTGCCAGCTCCCACCAGGACGTGCTCTCACACCTGCCTCTGTGCTCCGCCTGTTTCAGTTCAGAGGAATATCCTTGACTTCCCCCAGCACGTTTCTCCACACAAGGACATCCGGACAGCCAGCACAGAGGCAGACAAGAAGCTCTCAGAGTTCGATGTGGAAATGAGCATGAGGCAGGACGTGTACCAGAGGATCGTCTGGCTCCAGGTGAGAGCACGGTGAGGAATACAGCGGCCAGTGGCTGGTGGGGACACAGCTGTCGTGACACAACGCCGGGCAAACTGGAGGTAGATGATAGGGTGGGATGCAAGAACCTCTGACTGGGCACCAGTGCGTTGAAGCCGCTTCAGAACTGGTGACTTCTGCTGTCTAGATTTTAAAAAGCATAAAGCTGAAGAGTCCCAGGGACAGATGGTGGCGATGGTCGCACGCTCGCATCAATGTGCTTGACTCCACTGAACCGCGCACTTAAACACGGTTAAAATGGCGAATTTCACATGGTATGTTTCACAGTTTTTTTAAAAAACCATAGAAAGTGACAAAGACAAATGGAGAACATCAGCCACCAAGTATAAAGCCCCTGGGGCTCTCCCTGCCTCACCCACGCACTGCTTCACCGCGTTTCCGGCCTCCCCTGCTATTACTCAGAGGTGGCATCCCATTCCTACCTGAAGTGAGAGCCCCTGCATGTGTGCAGGGGGTTTCTGCCTCCCCCAGAGGCATCTTGGCAGCAGCTGGGGGCTTCGATGTTGACCCATGTGGTCAGGAGAAGCAGCCCAAGGTCTTTGGCTCTTGCTGTTCGTCCTGTTAGGCAGGGCCCGGGCCTTGCAGAGACGTCTCCTACCGCTCCCACCGCATCAGGAAAGGGTAGCCAGGTGGGGGATGGCCTGTGAAAGCAGTTTGTTTTTTCTTTTTCCTTTCTTTTCTTTTTTTTTTTTTTTTGGTGGCTGGCCAGTTTGGGGATCCAAACCCTTGACCTTAGTGTTAGCAGCACCTGCACTAACCGAGTGAGTTCACCAGCCAGCCCAGTTTGTTTTTTCTTCAATGACATTTTTATTGAGGCGGTTGCAGCTCCACATACAGTTGTATGAAATAACGCCAGGAGTGCCCTGGCACACATTGCCCCGGGTCCCCGGTGATGACATTTTGCAAAACTTCAGCATAATCTCACAACCAGGATACTGGCCTTGATATAGTCAGTGGTCTCGTTCCTGTTTAACCATCACCCTGTCGAAGGAACTCTGGTCCGATTTTGGTTTGGGGCTGTCCAAACAGAACAGTTGCCTGTGCACAGGATTTGTGCAGACATGGGTCATGGTTCCTCTGGTGTACGTGCCCCGGGTGCCGATGTCGAGTTACACGTACAATCAGGTGTTTGAGAAACTGCCCAGCCACTCTCCGGAGATGTGCACTGTTTTACGTTCCTGCCTGTGACGCGTGAGCGATCCAGCTCCTCCGTGTCCTGCGCAGTGTGTGGTGCCACCCCGACTTTCCATACAGTGTCTCAGTTTGCTTATTCTAGGACAAGGTGCAGAAGGACTCGCTGAGGCCAGAGGCAGCGCGGTACCTGGAGCGGCTCATCAAGCTGGGCCGGAGGAACGGGCTGCACCTCCCCAAAGAAACTCAAGAGGTGAGGGCTCGATTCGTGGTCGGTGTGGGTGGGGCTCCCTGGCTTCCCGCGCCCTGGCCTGATGACTTTCTTTCCACTGCCCAAGGATCTGAACTCTGGGAAGACAGGTGTCCCCGAAACAGCTCTCTCTCTGTACCCTCTCACCCTCCATTCTCTGGGGGAGTCAGACAGTGCTTCCTGAGAGCATGGGGCTACCTTGGCTCAAAAGAAGGCAGAGGGTGGGGGAATCAGGCACCTCTGATGACTTGGATGCGGTGGCACCTCCTGTTCACTGGCCAAGAACTGGGGCTGGGGGAGGGTAGCCACCTGCTCATGTCCTGTGATTAGTAAGTGACAGTGCCCTGTGCGCTCCCATTCCCTTTTCTGTCCTCTGTGCCCAACAGCCCTCAGTCCTGTGTCCTCACGGCCATCTGCGCCCCCCAGAAGGCCTTGCTGGGGGGCTTCTATCTCACAGACGGTGGGCAGCCACCCCCTAGCCAGCCCGACATTTCCTGCCGGTGCGGCTCCCTGCCTCTTGCCTGGACCCTGACCGGTGTGGGGCGGAGCTGGGGGCAGCTGCAGTCGTCTCCTTCTGGGCGTCCCTCTGCTGGTACTTGTCTCTGCCTTGCATGAGCCGTGAGTCCTGCGCTGGCCGTGCTGCCTGCCCCTCCCCAGTCAAGACAGAGGGTCCAGCCAGTGGACCCTCAGCCTCGGCCCCGCCTGCCCCAGACTCTTCCCACTGCTGCTCGGGCAGGAGGCTCAGTGCACAGCGCCCTGCGTGGCTGCCTTCCGAGGGAGTCCTCGTGGGTGCCGCAGCCCGGGGTGCGGAGCATGGCTGACACCTGACGGCCTGGGATCAGCCCCCACTGCGCCACGACCTGGTGGGGGACTGAGGCACCCCGCCCCACCCTTCTTTCCTGCCCTGGGTCATGGTGAGGGTTACCGGCATTGGTTTGTGCAGAGCTGTTTCTTTTTTTTTTTTTTTTTTAAAGATGACCGGAAAGGGGATCTCAACCTTTGACTTGGTGTTGTCAGCACCACGCTCACCCAGTGAGCGAACCGGCCATCCCTATATGGGATCCGAACCCGGGGCCCTGGTGCTATCAGCACCGCACTCTCCCGTGCAAAGCTGTTTCTAAAAACCAGATTTACTAGATAAAGGAGGAAAATTTATCGCTGTGAAACATTCTGAAGCTCAGGCTGTAGACTCTGAGCGTCATTCCTGACAGGCAAGGACACAACCCGAGGTCTCCCGGGATTGCCCGGCTCAGCAGCAGAAGCCTGTGCTCAGCTTAGTGCCACGCGCTTCTGCGACTTCCTGTGTCAGTCGTGAGCTTTTCTTTGTACCTGTCCTTCCTCACTCTTGCCGCTGCAGTTGTCCCTCTCCCTGCCTGGGTCATGGCAGGACAACCCTGAGCCCCCGGTAGGACCTTTCCGGGAATGCGAGCCTTCCCGCCGCTCTCGTGCCGCCTCTGCCTCTGCGAGTCCCCCCTCCCGCCACTGTCATCTTTCCCTCCAGAAAATCAAGAGCATCAAGAAGAAGCTGAGCCTCCTGTGCATCGACTTCAACAAGAACCTGAACGAGGACACGACCTTCCTGCCGTTCACACGCGAGGAGCTAGGTAGGTACAGGGCGGTGTGGTGGGGGGCGGGCCCGCTGCCTCCTCCCGTGGCTTCTGCAGCCAAGAGTGGCTGGAGGCCACTTGGGACGGGGGATTTCTTCCCTGGGAGCACTCCAGAGCATTGCAGAACCTAAGGCTCCAGATTCTTCCTCAGGGAGGGCCTTGCTCTGCCTGACCACGATTCCGTCTCTGACAGAACATCCCCCGGGGCAGCGGCAGGAGCATGGGCTGGGATGTGGCTGTCGCAGGTGCCAGTCTCAGCTGTGCCACTAAAATGGCTGGAATTTCCCCTGTGAGACCCCACATCCCTGACCCCTCCCTCCCTTATTTTATTTTTATTCCTACAAAATGAAGGGGTAGGTGTAATGACAATTCCTACATTCTTCTCCTAGACCCACCCTGGTAGCATTCTGCTCTGTCCTTCTCTGCAGAGATGCCCGTGTTGAATATATGTATTTTTTTCCTGAACCACGTGAGAGTTACTTGCAGGCCTCGTGACACTTGTCCAAGAATGAGGACCTCCTCCTGCATAACCTCATTGCCCGTCTCGCCCTCGAGATGCAGCATTGAACCATGGTGTTGTGTGAAACAGACGGGTCCTATCATCCTAGGACACTCTGTAACTGCCTGTCTGTCCCCATCCAGGACCCTGGTAGGGTTCACCCCTCATGTTTAGCTTTCATGTCTCTTTAGGCTCCTTCCCAGGGGAACAGTTCCCTGGCCTCCCCGTTTCCCACGGCAGTTGTGCTGCCTGTGAGGGCTCTGCCAGGACTCAGACAGGGCTGGGACATTTGACCAGTTCTGTATGATATAAGGCAATACAAACCTAATTCTGTAATTCTAGCAGTGGTTGCCTCTGAGGTGGCCGCTGAGAAAGGACCCCATGACCCATGACCTCTGAGGGTAGCTTGGTTGTAGAATTACCCAGACATGAGTTTCCCTGAATAAGCGCTTTGATCAGTAACCACTGAACTCGGCTGTCCTTCCTGTGTACTAGCATCAAGTCCCACCACCTGGCCCCCAACACTTAGGAGAGACAAGGTCCTGTGTACAATTTGCTTTAAAGCACATGGTTCCCCAGCCAAAGAGGGGCCCCCAGCCTCTGGAATCTGGGTTTCAGCAGAGGCATCTGGTCACCCATACCATGCTTGTGGGGCTGCTCTCCCACTGCTCTCCCCCGCCAGGGGTCCCCCTCTGTCTCTGCCTGGCCTCCAGCAGGCAGCTCGAATCCCCCGCAGGACAAACAGTTGTGCAAAGTGGTTTAGTTGATGGCCCTCCAGGCGTCACTGGAATGGGACTGTGTATCTGTACCTGGACACATTTGCACCCCCAGCTGGAGTGTCCACAAGTGACCTTCTGAGTCCATCACTCTCGTTCTGTTCACGGTTGTTAGCTGCTCCACTGTGGGGTCAGAGTGTTCCCTTCTCCCCCGTTTGTTTGTTATTTGTTTGCATCAGTGTGGACTTTCAGGTTCCTATTTTATTCAGCAGGTTACGATCCATTGCTATCGTTATTTATTTCAAATCTCCAGTTGTCCCGCTTTGACCGTTGGGAGCCCGCTCAAGCTGGTTCCTGTGTCCTTTGGTCATGCTTCTGTTACCCTTTGAGCACTTTCTTTTTGACACACGATGCTGCAGGCTCATCCTGCGCTTTCCTGGCACTGGCACCAGCCTCTTCAAGGAGCCCCGGTTCCTTATAGTGGAGAATGATATTTAGAAACCAAGATTCGGGAGCCGGGCGTGCTCATGGGGACTGGGGAGCTGTTGTCTCCCGGCACCCTCAGCAGGCAGGCTTAGGAGACACGTGTATCTCTGGACCTTGCGCACACTCTTCTGTATCTATAAGTAAACATCCCCGCATGCATGCTCGTACCTTCACCTGCAGTCTAGTGCCGCAGGGCTCATCCACCCACCCCTTTTCTGTACCTTAATTTACTCCCTTCTCCAGCAGTGGAAATCTGCTCCTGGAGGATGGAGCACTTTCGTGGTGGAAATGCCTTGTTTAAGGCCTCACAGTCATCGGGAGGAAGCCGTGCAGTGCTCCCAGGGAGGGCTGCCATGCTGCCTGCTGGGCCCCTAGCTCCCACCAGGACATCCCCAGCTGGGCTTGGCCCTGGCTGAGTCACACAGCACAATCTGTCAGGCCCGCGCAGTGCCAGGACATGAACAGGAATGAGGGAGAGGTCCACCCCCTGCTGGACGCCTCAGCTCCTCTGTCACATCCCACGCCCATGGGCTGACCTCCCAAATGGCCTTGTCTGTCATGCTCGTCCTCACCAGGTCGTCCCTTCTCTGCTTTACGGCTGTGAGGGTCCTGGGTGAGCCGGTCTCTGAAGGAGCCACGGCCCAAGTTGCAGCTGGAGCATGAGACATAGTGGCCCAGGCACCTCCTCAGCTGTGGGGGGGTAGCCCTGAGGTTCTCAGTCCCAGTGGACGCACCGGCATCTCTGCTCCTTAGGATGGTTGGGACAGGGGGCTGGGGGTGGGTGAGGCTGTTGTGGCAGTGGGAGGCACTGCCCAGCAGGGAATGCAGCAGTGGGGCTGATGTGGAGGGCTTCAGGTTGGCTGGTGATGCCACCACCAAGAAGGGACACAGGACAAGAGGCGGGGTCAGTGGGAATGAGGGTGCACCTGTGTGAGCAGGTCCAGGAGTTTGGATTGGGCTCGTTTTGGAAGGACAGATTTGAAAGTGGCCAGTGATGGGTGTCTGGGGCCATGGGTAGGCCAGTGTGGGGAGGGTGGGGGAAGAGGGCAGCCCACAGGGGTGTGCGTGGCAGCACAGACTGGGATTCAGACTTGGGGAGGGGGACTTTGGCTTGGGGGTCATCGTTTAGGAAAAGCAAACTAGCAAGTCTGTCTTCCTCCAGCACATTCTGAGCTTCCCTTCGCCTGCTGGGAGCTTCCTGTTTCCCTCTCTGATGGAAATCTTTGTCTTTGACACTGTTTGCACTGCCTGAGGCTCTCTGGGCTCACCTGTGCGGG